ACACACACACACACACACACGCGCGCGCGCGCGCGCGCACGCAAGCGCATATATATACATATATATATATACGTTATATAGCAAATAATGTAGGATTTGCAAATAGATACTACATGGTCGCAATGGCAATAGAGAACATCATGCCATTTACTATAGCGGCGTGTAAAAGCCGAGACTGGAAGCTGGCGATGGAAATATCTAGTATAGCTAATGATCTATGCTGCTGATACTGTGATTACTGCGAACAGGAAACACTGACTCGCTCACGACTCGCGCGTGTATACTGCAGCTTAACACAGTTGTACATGTACCGCGCCTAACCTGACGTTCTTAGTTTGTGAACGCTGTTTGTACGACGCTAATTTATTCTATACGAAACTATAAGACGGTGAATTAAGAAATTCAAATAAACGAAAACTTTTAACATAAACATTTAAATGTCTAACAGTTTCGATAAAAAATATTCACGCGTTTGAACATGTTGTAGAATGAAGATGCACCACTCCACGAGTATTGTTTATTTTTGTTTTTGACTGTTTGTGTTTAAAATGGCGTCTGTATCGTGTACGAACGTTCGCAGCGTCCCATGCCGACATTACGGAGGCGGGTTGCTTACCCAGATATATTCCATCAAGCATTTTCGTAATATACTATGTCAGACATTTTATCTTCATCGTTTTTAGCTGTCTCCTCTCTTAGCTGAGATCCACGCGGCAACTGTATGTTATTATAAGTTAGATTAATTTACAAGTATATATAAACAACACGTATATCACTAAGCAGTTTATATTAATGTGTATATTATGCATAAATATAATACAAACACAAATGAACGACAAGTAGTGCGTGCGTGTGTAAATACACGTACAATACACGATTCCTCCACATAAGCTCGATTTGCATACAGATATACAAGTGGAAACGAAAAATGTCCGCACATTGCGTGTCCACAAAACATACGTTCTACGTTGTGACGTGAAAGCGACACGAATATACAGCGTGCAAAAAATTCATACGCAACAATGAAACACGTCATCGTCGTCGTTGTAAAATACCAGATTTACAAGGAAAGAAAATGTAATAAAATCAAAGGGGAAAGCATGTGAGAATGGTTTGCTACGCAACGCTTCGCTTCAATTGCTAACTTTACAAAATTATCGTACAGCGGTCATGCGGCGTCATCATGGCAAAAATTCATCGATGCACAGCAATTGTTATTCGAACCAGAACTGGAATTGAAACAATCTCGTGTGCGGGTAAATATCGATGTACACTAAGCCTAGCGATTTTCCCTTACTTTCTCTCTGAAAAGTGCTTCTTCTTCTCTCTATATTCTAGTAAACACACACTATAGGTGGTTCTCACAGTCTCCCGTCAATGACGGATAGAGATCCTCACATCAGGTGACAGTTAACAGCCCGGCGTCGGTAAAACCTAACCCCACATACACCAGCTCGTCAGCTACCGCTACTGCGTGGTTGCACAACGGCCAGCGCATCAGAAACGTATACAATCACCACGCAGGACCGCTGCGTATCAAACATGGCGCCATGTTTAACGCGATTATAATATTCACGGCTGTCGTGTTGCCCCGCTCTCTCACCTCACCTCATCATGCGATACCTGCACCACGGCCAGAAGCAACGTACATGAAACAAAGTGCAGCTTCCAACGCGACAATTCTGGCATCTCCATCGATATAGTGATATATATATATGTATATATATATATATATATATGTATATATATACACATATAAACATATATGTATATACACATATGTATACACTTATATAATATACATATATATATATATATATATCAACCTTGGCCTGCGCGTCAGTGTCGATACGAGTAAGCGAGCAATGAACGGTGTGGATTGTTGTGATGGTGCGTTTAAATTGCTATAATATTGCTGGTGCCCATGCAGTGATTAAAGTCCCGTCTTATACATAAATCGCCGCCTAGCTATAGCATCTAGCATTCTACTGTAAGCAGTCGCGCATGTAATCCCGCATACACACAGACACACACACACACACACACATATATATATATACATATATATATATATGCATGATTACAAGCGCAATTATATATATATATACATATATATATATATGCATGATTACAAGCGCAATTATATATATATATATAGGCATGATAGCGCACGTTATGGACGCGTCGTGGTGATGGAACCAGATGTAGGAAGACGTCACTACTATAAAAAGGCAAAGCGTATTCACGACCGCACGCACGACTCCTGCTATATACGCGACGTCGAAAGCCATGCCGAGGCTGAACTCTAAGAAAGTTTGGTTGCAGTGACTAGAGATTTCACATTAAGTTGAACTGATCCGTGAAAAGCGACTAGCAGCAGTGTCCGTGCGTACACATGCAACATATATCCCAGGTTATAACGCTGCACGAGTGATAATAGAAATCCTCACGAGTTATGCGAACAACCAAGACAAACTGCAATTAACTGTCCGCTCATTGGTAATATACATTCATAGTTTTATAATATTTATACGCAGTATGACTACAGGACCGTGAGGGGAATGGAATTGTGCAGCTAAACACAATACTAATGATATTAATTATTGATCTTAAATAAACTAGGACTTAAATTATACATCACTTACGCGTATCTGTTTAAATTTTGCGATTGCACCATTGCTTGCAATGATCGGAATTAGCATTAGATGATTTATTTCTTATTGTACTTCTTACGTAAGCTACAATCGTCAGCCCAGCAGTATTACCACCAAGAATGCTGTGTGGTCGCTCATCACCAGATAATGTCATACATGTAATAATCCACTCGAATCGAATATATAATATATTCCATCCATATTAGAAACATACAAACAGATTTACAGACAGAATACATACGCATTACGTGTGTACCAACGTACGTACGGACGCACTTACACACACACACACGCACACACACGCACGCACGCACACACACGCACGCACACACGCACACGCACACACACGCACACATGAGCACACACACGCACACATACACACACATGCACACACACGCACACACACACACACGCACACACACGCACGCACACACACACACACACACACACACATACACACACGCACACATGAGCACACACACACACACACATACACACACGCACGCACGCACACACACGCACGTACGCACACTGACGGACACAACAGACGGACGTCGATGATATCTAGACAGAAGGAAGCGAACGCAATCAAGCTATGAGTCATTATGATTGCCTGTCAGTCGATCTAGGGGCGGCGGCGGTAGGTGGGTGGGGGGTGGCGGTGGTTAGTTACGGACAGGTATAAGCATATATGCACCGATGATAACCCTTTCGCCGAAATTTCCCATGGGAAAATAGCAACTCTTTCGTGGTGAATCCGTTGAAAAAGATGACGACGTTAAATAGTCATTATTGTGTGCGTTATTAGTGAGTGTAGAACGTACGTAAAACGCTAGCTTCGCCAGTCCTTCATAGATAGATGTACGTGCGGCGCCTCTATCCTTCAGATATACGATTTACTTTCATGGGATAAACTTAACCTGTGAGGTTCTACCCACGGTGGGGTGGGGCTGGGGTGTAGGTAGAGTGTGGGTGGGGATGAGGTAAGGGTAAGGGTGGGGTGGGGCTGGGGTGTAGGTAGAGTGTGGGTGGGGATGTGGTAAGGGTAAGGGTGGGGTGGGGTGTAGGTAGAGTGTGGGTGGGGTGGGGCTGGAGTGTAGGTAGAGTATGGGTGGGGATGTGGTAAGGGTAAGGGTGGGGTGGGGCTGGGGTGTAGGTAGAGTGTGGGTGGGGATGAGGTAAAGGTAAGGGTAAGGGTGGGGTGGGGATGGGAAAGGATGGTCGTGGTGGTGGAGGTGGTGATTGTCTTTATTCGTGTATATGCGATGTAATGTCATTTCTTACGCCTGCGGCCAATTCCAGCTGGCCAAAGGTTTATTAACAAGACGGGATAAACGATTCTATTGGTTAGACATCGAAACATTACACTTAGAATTAAAATTATTTACAGAAAATTGTTAAAAAAAGTGTCCACCACGTTCTGGTCAGTTCGCACACACACACACACACACACACACACACACACACACACACACACACACACACACACACACACACACACACACACACACACACACACACACACACACACACACACACACACACACACACACACACACG